TCCAATATTCGAATATATGATTTTAAAATTAATTAATTAAAGATTTTAACTGGACATCGGGATATCCGCATAAAAAAATGAACGGATATCCAAATTTTCGAATCTGAAAATAACAAATGTTAAAATATTAGTTATTATTTGCTCCATATGCAAGTGATCGGTATTTTCATCGCCCACGCGACATAATGTTCTGCACGACTGCACCACTACTTTGTTTTGCACTCTTCAATAATTTTCACTCTTTCATTCATTGTCCCGGATGGGGAAAAAGGGCTGCTCTTACGGCCACAGANAAACCATGGGGTTTTTGGAAATTTGGACTTCATTTTCAGCTTACAACTTTCAGGGGCATCTTGACGACTTGCAGCAGTATAAAAATCTTGACCTGCAATATATTTTGAATTCTTATAGCAGTAGGTTTCGCAGTCCATAACAATGCGGTTGTATTTTTTAATTTAGAATTCATACAACTTCCGAATGCGGGATTTCGCTGTAACATTCTACTTTGCGCCTCCGTCTGGCGCTGTTTGAGCTGTAGAACATCTCAATGAAGCTTTCCGCTTTACCTTTTGTACGAAAAACTGCGATCTCCGTACGGATTTTGCAACATAACGCGACAAAATCTTCGGATCTCGCGAAAACGCGCTGAGGACCTTCCGAGCACTGTTTTTATCACTGTCGAATAGTGCAATCTTTAATTGTTTAGCAATTTTACGTGTACTTAAGGCCGGATCATTTATAAACTCGTGCAAAATGGTTTGTCTCGTTTCTAGCTCGGTTGCCATTTTTAACTCAACTAGGAATCAAATTCAAATGAAATTTCTTCTACGTTCAACTAAGGTCATGGTCAAGTTATGGTATTTGAATTTCAAAATATTGTATTCGTTTTGGGTAAGTTATAAGCTTCCCAAAGTGTCGCAGTTTTGGTGTGTTCACCCTTTATTACCTGTGTTGGGGGCATATATAGAGAAGCTTTCAGTCTTTATAAAATAACGAAGGTCTGGCCGTTGCTGGCTCTTGCTCTATTACTTTTATAGCCAATTTATTTTTTTTTTTAATGTGAGTACAAAGCGAAGGAAGAAGTAATCCTCTTCGTTTTTAATATATATGTACTTATAAAAATACGTATTTACTTCTTAAGAACGATTATGTACTGTTAGATACATTTTGTACAATTTGAAATTTAAAATTTCCATCCCTGCTGGAATATCAGCTGTAAAAGAGGACCAGGAACCAACGGCTGATTGCTATTTGTTCAATAAAAATACCCTAAAGTCAAAATTAACGTATCCAGCAGGGTTGCAATCAATTAGGAATTAGTGAAGCATTAATCGAGCAATTAAAAATGGATAATCAAGCTCAATTAGCATCTTAATCGAGAAAGCTTGTCTAATTGCTCGATAACTGCCGGTCTGAATGTACTTGTAGTTTTTTAACGGCATATATTTATTAGAAGCATTAAATCTAGTTTTTTCATATTTGATAGGTGGCCACCAAATTTCCGGCGGTAAATTGTCGATTTCTTGGCGAAAGTTGTTTTTGAGGGTTTGCGGCTTATTCACGTAAAGCTTTGACCCTTTGAGTAAGACCGCTTAAAGTAGTTTGGGCTGTCAGATCGGGCGATTAGCGTCTTCAAATAGAGCTATTTTTGCGCCACTTTTTATGTTTCTCTCTGAATTTAGTTTGAAGCCCTGGCACAATTCATTTCGTAGTAGCAAGTTAAAGACATGCGCTGCTATTTAAAAGGAAGTAAATATTGTTTTCTGATGTGTCCAATTTAATAGACAAATTCAATGAAAAGCTTAAATCACCAAAACAAATTTTAAAACAACTAAAAACTTCTGCTTATGTAAAACAATGATGCTGGTAAATAAATATGTACATATATACTTAATATTAGATTACAACGATTTGGACTTCGTACATACATATGTACATACCTTACACGATTTACGTCAACAGAGCGGGCAAATACCTGTCAATGATTTTTTGCTATGACGCAACTATATAAACATAAACAACGCTTATCTCTACAAAGCCTTAGAGCGCGGTTACCCACGGACGTGTAGGGAGCGTGGCGTAGAAGTACGTCGAAAGATATCAAGTGTGCTGTTGATAGTAAGAGAGAGACGCAACGTCTATGTCACGGTCATGCGGTGGTGAGTTTTTGTTAACACGCAAATCCCGTCAGCTGACACGTTCTCCGTTTTTACGTTCGTGGCTAACTGCGCTTTTACTATAGTTACGTTCCCCAACTGTTCTGGGTTACAACCTGTAAAATTGTCAAAAGGCAAAAGAAGCCAGAGAACCGGATACGGGAACGCTTCCTGGTAAATTCCTGTAAATTCTTGCAAGTTCTTGCGAGTTAGCNAAAATTGTCAAAAGGCAAAAGAAGCCAGAGAACCGGATACAGGAACGCTTTCTGGTAAATTCCTGTAAATTCTAGCAACTTCTTGCGAGTTAGGGAACGCAACTTATATTTGGCTGCACAAGGGAAAAATAACATTTATTGGAGAAGCAGACAGATCTAGAGACAGATCTACATTTCGTTACCTTAATTCACAAAAATCCTAACCAACAAATGTTTTATTTTACAGGGGTAGCAAAAAACGTTATAGAAATCAAATCATGCATACGTATAGGCGTTTTAAATCTTTGTTGTTTGGTACAAACACAGGGTTGCATTCCTCATATTTAAATAGCCAATATTGGCCATTTCAGCGAAAATGAATAGTGGAAGTTAATCAACAATCTCTACTTAAGTAGCCCATCTGAAATTGGGCCTAAGCCTAGTTTATACACCTAGTTTTGGTGTTCACGTATCCAAAAAACTTGTAAAGTAGGGGAAATTGAGAGAACAAAATTACAGTTCTCTAGGAGGCGAAGTAATAAGGAGTTTTTTATGGGGCTTTTGTAGTAGAAGAAGTAGTTTGTAGAAATACTATTTTATAAGGAAGTTGCTACGAATAAACCACAAATTTATCAACTTTTCCTGAAACTTGCAAATTGTTACTGGGTTTGCGTTCAAATTCTCAGAAATGAAGTTGCTCGAGAGTTGCTGGCAGAGTTACTGGATAATTTTTACTGAACAAACCTATTATTATCTGCTTTAACTGGAAAAACATTACTAAGACTGGCTGTCAAGGAATGAAACCGATTCAAAATACCGTTTCGGTTTCGGTTTTGGCAAGGGTTTCGGTTTCGGGTTTGGTTTCGTTCTTCAAAATTTGTTTCGGTTTCGGTTTCGGTTACGTTCCGGTTTCGGTTTTGGAATAAAAAAAATGAAAGTTTTGACAAAAAAGTCATCCCCTGATACACAGCAACAACGTCATCACCAGATTCACTAAAATGTTTCCTTTTTGCTGTGAAATTGAAGATGTATGAAAACTAAAATATAATTGTTTTTTTCGTCAAATATATACTAAATAATTATGAAACTTTATCCACCCATTCATTTTTGTGCGCTTTACTACTAGACATGTGAAAAAGAAAATCAAAACGACTTCTTCCAAATAGCCGATGCCAGATCGGAGATTTAATTTATTAGGCATCTTTTTAGTAGCTTTTTGCGAAAAGTTACTTTGCCAAAGTTACTGCTTAACAAGAATTTTAGCAAAATACAGCTGATTTTGGTTAAATAAATCATTTATTTCAAAGAAATTTTTATTTATTTTGGAGGTAATTGTAATTGTGAAAAGTGAAGTAAAACGAAGTAAAGTGAAGTGACGAAGAGAAGGCTTCTAAAGTGAAGTGAAAGACTTCGACATGAATTGTAGCACATTTATCAGTGTTGGCATAAGTCACGATATATAAGAATTAAAAGTAAGGCTATCCACGTACTAGTCAACAAATTTGTCATGCAACTAATTTTTGGTGAAACCGCACAGTTATGCTACTGAAGAAAAAAAATGTTGGTTGCTAGATCATGCAGCTGATTTTTATAAATTTTTGGAAACCGATTGAAACCTGTGCTTGAAACGGTTTCGCTTTCGTTCCTTTTCAGGTCAAGATAACGGTTACGGTTACGGTTTCGGTTTCGGTTGCATTCCTTGGAAGAAAAAAAATTTTGGTTGCTAGATCATGCAGCTGATTTTTATAAATTTCTGGAAACCGATTGAAACCTGTGCTTGAAACGGTTTCGCTTTCGTTCCTTTTCAGGTCAAGATAACGGTTACGGTTACGGTTTCGGTTTCATTCCTTGGTTTTTGTTTGTTATAGGGCAGCAAAAAATGCAGTAAAATTATAGGCTTGTGGAAATAATACGTCGACACATTGTACAGAGTATATCGTTATTACATCGACTATGGGAAAGGCGTATCTCTCATCGTCGCTAAAATGCAAAAAAGGCATAACTAACTAAAGTTGTTTATTGCATAAAATGATATAGCGATGAAACACATCAACCAAAAAGTGATTTTTTTCAGTGACGATACGATACTATACTAACGATATACAAATTTAAACTAGTGCCAGGCAAATATAACAGATGGATTAGACTCTGACAAGTCATTTCTGTTTGGATTTTATTTATTTTTTTTTTTACATTTTTAGAGTACAAAATAAACAGCAAAATAAACACAGCTTGTGGCAAGGCGAATTTATATAAGGTGGTGTTGTTTCATCAGCTGTGAGTAGCGTTTGATTGTCAAAATTTTGAATTTCATTAGTGAGTGAATGAGAACGTGAGAGTGTTTGCATTTTCTGTCGCCCTTTTTCATTCGGGGAAGAATAGCTGAATTTTGACAATGGCCCGCTAAAAGCAAACACAAAATACAAGTAATTGTTGTATTTGTTCAATCGATACCACCTTATATGTATGTATTCGCCTTGGCTTGTGGGCTTGTTTTTACTTTTCAATGCGCCTTTCATAACTAATTATCACTCATTCATTAATTGTAACAATTTATATTTGTTTTGCATTATAACTCAATATCCTCTCTTACCTCTCTCTTTTTCTATGCCACCCTATCTGCACCTACTGTTGCTATTGTATCGTGTAGTGCTCAAAGAGGAACCCGATGACTTGGCACACTTGACACCTGCGGCTGTTGACGCTTGCATGCGCCTCGATGATACCGCTCCATTTTGCGGCGAGATGTTGCTGGGCTTGTGCTCTTATACTTACGGTGGATTTTTGCCTGATGACTACAGCTCACTTGATTCAACTACAAATTCCTCTTCTCCAGACTCTCCGAAGCACAGTACCGGCAGTGCTAACGGCAACGGTAGCAACAACGGTGCCCTTAACAGCAATACAAATAATATTGGCAATAACAAAAGTGGCTTTAGCAGTCCAACGCATCAGCAGAATTCTATAAGCAGCAGTTTGAACGCTGCCGCATTGCACAATAGTAACAATGGCAGCAATATTGGCAACCACAATTGCAACAAACCGGTCGTGCGCGTTGATCCATTCATCAATTATCGAGAAGAATCAAATGACACAAACTGCTCACAGCATTTACTCTCGCCCAGTGTGGCTTCGAAGGTGGGTTTTAAGTAATACTTATTTATGTACATATATATTGAAAAGCAAAAGCTCAAAGCTATCACTGTGTAAATCTAACATCATTTTTTGCTTTCATTTTGTTTTATCTCAATATTAGAGTCCCGAAGCGAGCAGCCTGCCATCATTGTGCAGTCCCAACTCGCTGAGTCAGGATGATGGATTTGCATTTATGACAATGAGCGTTGATGAGGAAATCGACATGACCATGCGCGCTCCATATATACCAATGAACGAGCAAGAGGATTTGCCTCTCCTTACTGCCGACGATCTAATGTGGTGCGCCAGTAATGGATTGGGCAGCGAAGAGTTGAGCAACCAAAAAGAAGTTGATGCAACGTTGCAGCAACTACAGTTGCAACAGCAACACTCGTGCGAAGGCAATGCCAACCTGTTGACAAGCTATAATGATGCCCAACATATCACTCAATCACATTTCAATTCGTTGTGCTCCTCACCCGCCTCGACCGTCTCGTCGCTTTCGCCATCCCCGATGAGTCAGCAACAGCAGCGGCAGCAGCATCACCAACAACAACAGCACCAACAACAACAACAGCAACAGGATACGAATTGTGTTTACAGCACAGACACAAGCGAATTGGCTGCGCTGTTATGCGGCTCCGGTAATGGCACATTATCGATTCTGAATAATAGTTGTGGTGGTGGTAGTAGTGGTGTCACCGAAGATTCCGACGGTGGTTTGCAACCACAGCAGCAGCAATCGCATTGTGGTGATTTTCGTTTGCAGCAACTGCAGCGGGAGTTGGCAGCTGAACAGCAAGGAGAACAACAGCGCCAAATGCAGTTGCTCGGCTTGACTATCGATTGCAAGAAGGAGAATTCGCTGTCGCCGAACTTGTGTGATTCCATTGAGGATGCATTTGATAATGTCTACAGCAAGGATTGTAAGTTTAAGCAAGTGTGGGCCACATACTTCTTGTATTTTGCAAATAATCAATGATAATGCTCTTGTCCCGAATAAGTACCAAATAGAAATGTGTAAGCCTCTGTGGAAATTCGTTGCAATAACCGAATACTTAGTTTTGTATGTATGCCTGTTTTGCTTGTTCAGTAGAGACATTATATAACACAGCTGATCTCTTTGTACGCGGTTAAGAGGGCTATTAGAAAATTCGTGAAAGAAAACAGGGTAATAAAGTGCCATTTTCCAACGAACTCACTTTCCGAATCGCAAATAAAACTCGCTATGACCAAGAATATTGGAGTTCTTTTCTCCTTTCTGTTCAAAACAGATAACGGAATATTCGAAGGTTACCTATACCTATTTTTCCGAGGATAAAGTAGAATGTGGTATACAGTACATATAAATAAGCAAAAATACTAAAAATTAAATACGAAACAGTAACATCCAATTAAAGATCATTTCTCTAAACAAAATTTTTGAAATAGCACAAAATTTCACGAAGGATATTTGTGGAGCATGGCTTGCGAGTCACATATTTTTTATTTTAGTTTAAAAAGTCACTTATAAAATTAATGAAAAGGGTAAAATAATATACAATCCACTTAAAATTTTCATGAATATTTGATTTATTACAGTTTGAATATCGGGTTTATTACAGTTTGACACTTATCGAACTATTATTTTGTTTTTCACGCGTCCAAGATTGCCTCTTTCAATTCTTATTCCTTGAACCTCTCTTCTTTCTTGAAAATAGTCCAAGAGTCGCACTCAAATTTGGTCTATTTCCTGACCATTTCAAAGTTTTTATATCCTTACGACGCAAATATCCCTTTACCTGTTCTGAGCAGAAAGGATAAAAGGGCTTCAATATTCTTGGTAATGTTGTTATTTAACAATAAAAGTTTTCCTTCGGATCTTTGTCCGATCGCATGGCGCAGAGGCATCTTGAAAAATGAGATCGTCTAAAAAAATGGATCTAAATAGTCCGTAGTAGTTATGATATCAATGTGTCCAGGAATGCTTAAGCTTCCGTTAATGGATGTCAATTTATCAGTATCGAAGTACGAAATTCCATCGCAAACAATATGGCTTGGTGGAAACTTGTATCGCAACTAATGAGAATACACTGGGCTTTTACTACTTCTGATATTTATCGGACCACGAATACCAATACATATCTTATCTTTAACAAAACATTCATCGATCATACAGCCACTTGAGCGACAAACCCGGAATGTTGAAAGTTATGCAATTGTTTTATATTTTCCTCTGTGAGAGCAAGTTCAAAGGCAAAGAGAATAAAATGTATGCATGTGTGTATGTATATTTAATTCCATCAACTCATAGCAGAGCTTTACTCTTCTATTCCATCTGCCACTGCTGTTCCTTCCCCGCTCTTGCTTTTGGTCGATTGATTTCATTGAAGCAGTCTCAACGTCTAGCTCGCCTTCTCAGAAGATCGATTATGCCTTGATAACTATACTATACGTAGATACATACATACATACATACATATGCGTCTCAAGCAAAACATTGTTCGTGTAGTATTTGAGTTTTTCTACAATGGACGCTTTTAAAATTTTCTTCTCTTCGAGTATTGCTTGTCCGAAAATGTTACATTTTGTGCTCTTACTTAGCCAAGAATTTCTCATTCAATTTCCATTTACCATTTCTACATTCATTCGCACAATTTGTTTTATATACTGCACGTATATACGTATGTAGGTGAAAAGCAAGACTTATTTCGTATTGTTTTTTTTTTTTCATTAACTCATACTCGATTAACTGATGGAATTTTTGTACGAGATTCTGTGTCCATTAAATTTCACGAATTTTAAGAATAGAGGTGCTCAGTACCATCAGTGCTTTCGGATATGTTCAATACATTTACTATATACCAGGGGCGTAGGAGTTATACGTTTTATCAGCATTTTCCATAAATCCGTTACCTTTTGATAATAGTTCCTGTACAACATTTATTATTACGTTGTCTGATAATCAGGGCCGAAAAGTTTAAGCTTTTCCTTATTTTGCTTATTCAGGGTTTCCAAGCTTAATTTTAACGATCATGCTTATTTTGGTTATTTCAATGTATAAAGTTAAGTACGGACCTTTTAAGAAAATGGTCAATAAATAAATTGCTATTATTTCGTTGGTGCGAATAGTAGTGTCCAAGGAGTTTTGACATCTGATATTTTACATCCTGCTGTCTCACTTTTTCCTTCCGAAATAATGGAACGGGCATATATTTCTGTTGAAAACAAGGGTGCCTTGTACTCTACTACTTGTTATAGATTTGGTTTTTATAAACCCTTAACTTCAATTGAATTTGTGCTTCGATACAAAACCAATGGTCTGTTTCTACGGGAAAGTATTGGTGTTATTGAAGAGATTAAAAACAATTTATCTCAAATCGAGAAAACTGATATTTAAAAAAATTAAAACGATCAGCGCAGATCTCTATTATTTGAGAATATCAAGCAGCACTTGATTGTCCACTGCAATTTTTCAATCCTTGAAATAAACTGAATAAAAAACAAAACATTAAACTGTACAGTAAATTTTGTTTTGCGAGCATACTTGCCATCATATTTATCAATATTTTTGTGCTTATCTACGCGCTTAAAATGGATTTTTCTTGCTTATTTTCTCCGACCCTCTTCATCAATATCCTTATTTTATTTTACAACCTTTATAAAATAATAGATAATTGGCAACGGAAAAAACTTCTCCTGCATAACAGTTGTCTGGCAACGTAAAAGATAGACGTCCGGATATACATAACTCTTACTGGCGAAACAAAAAATATTTCTCATCTAATACATCATCTACTTAACAATGAAACAACGTTTCGCTTCATTTCGGAATTCTTTTTTTGTGTTAAAAAATTTTTTTTGTGTTAAAAAATTGTTTTTTGTGTTAAAAAATTTTTTTTGTGTTAAAATTTTTTTTTGTGTCCCTGCTATGTATGTACATATTTTTGTGCTTATGTCTGTGCATACAAGTTTTCGCAAACATTTATTAGTACCGATATCTTGTCTATAGAATTTTTTTTATATACGACATTGCGTCAAAAGTTGGTTATTGACGAGTGCCTAACTTATTCAGCTATTTAAATTTCGATATATCACTAGTCATGATAGTAAAAAAATACTTTGCCACCACCTGGGACCACCTCTGATGTAAAAAAAAAAACAATTATAGACATTGTTTAACGTGGTCCAAAGTTATGCGGTAACATACCTAAAAAAAAATTCAGACGAATTGATAGATAACCTCCTTCTTTTTTGAAGTCGGTTAGAACAAAAAAAAAAAAACAAACAAAAAAATAGCGATGTTATGAATTCATCGGAATATTTGAATTTCTTTTTTAAGTATGTTACCGATAACTTTGAACCACGCGAACAGTTCTCGATAGTTCGATTCGGTGGTCCCATACTAATTTGGTTTAGCTCCAATCATTGGATCATGGAGAAGTTAGTGGTACTCTTAAAATCTTGTATGAGTATTGAAGTCGCTTGTGTTTTAAGCATAAAAATTACTTGTGAACAATGTATTTTCCTAATGCTAAAGGAATTTGGAAGAAATCCTTTAAGTGGCCGTCAAAAATGCTAAGAAATCAAAAGAAGTTTTTTTCTAGTTCCTGTCGGTATTAAAATGAGGATTTATATGCATTCAAATAAAAAGTTATGTGTGTGTGCATTTACATACTTATGTATAATGTGCATAGTACGCACTATGTGCTTAGATTACATTTCTTCATAGAATTCAAAGCTTTACTTCAGAAACGCAACGAATTTCCAACTATTCTACACATTTCGCAAAAGTAAATATGTACATTAGACTGCATCACTCCCCCATACAAAAAAAAAAAAAAAAGATTGATACTTTGTTACCACTGGAATTATAAAATCTATTATATTTTAAGACGCCCACTAAAATATTTCGGAAAAATATTAAGATTTACGTGAGATGGATCGTTTTGAAAATACCTCCCAATATGGAGTTTTTTTTATCAATAAAAATAGTTTCTTAAATTTTTTTGTTTTCACAAAATGGTTTAAACTAAAAAAATTTGCATACAAATATTTTTAAAAAGATTAAACAAATTTCGAACAGAATCGTAATAATCAGATTTTTGATGATGTGTTTTAACTTTTTTCAAAGATTGGTATAAGAAAAACTTGAATAACTGAACATTAACTCTTCCGATTTAGACTTTTTTTCATTGTAAAGGTCTTTTCTCACCCTTTTAATTTCTTTGCTAATAAACTCATTCAAAGGATGAAAGGGAAAGGTAGGATGAACGAACGTCATTCAAAGTTGAATTAAGACGTGTTGTTATTTGAAAAAAAAAAAAATAAAATAAAATACCTTTCTTCTGAGATCCCATAAGCCTAAATAAGAATATTTTTGGCCCAGTTATTCAAGTTTTTCGTAAATCAATCTTTGAAAATCGGAAAAAAACGACATACAAAATTTCATTATTACGATTTCCCGGTGATGCAGTCTAATGTACATATGTAGCTGTTAGACGTGGCAAGTGCAAGTCCTTTTGAAATGTCTGTCACACTCAAGAATTTGCATAAGTGATTGCCTTATGCCTTGCATGTAAAGTGACATTCGAGAACAGTTTTTAACAGTTTAACTGTGTTACCAAACATTTTTATGATTAAGACAAAATTAGTGGCCTGACAAATTTAACAAAAACACTCTAATGCACACAATACAGCAAAGAAATGGCCGAGTGCATCAATATTTAAATAGTTTATATCAGAAAAATTAATTACAAGTATTTTTTACATATGATGCAAAAATCGCGTCACATGGCAACACTATATTGATTGGACAGCACTTGCAGCAAAAATAAAATTGCTGGTGTAGCACAAGCAGGTTGAAATTATTTTTCGAAAGTGATTTCAATTGCAGTTAGTAATAATAATAATAGATTGGCGCTTACACATAAATATGTTAGTGTTTGGCCGAGCTTCTTCTCCGATTTGTAGCGTGTGTCTTGATGTTGTCACACAAAGAGGAGTTTAACGCCAACTTCGAATGGCGATGGTATTTTTATAAGAAGCTATTTTTCATAACAGAAATACACTCGGCGGTTTGCCATTTCCTGCCGAGGGACGACCGCTGTTAAGAAAAAACCTTCTTTCTATGTGAAAGCTTTTTCTGCAAATCTGCAGAAAGCAGACTTTCGATTTCGCATTTCGACAGCAAAATGTGTAGAAAGAGCGCTTGCATTGCCACGTCCAGCACCACTCTAAGGCAAATTATTTTATTTCAATTCTAACTGCTTATTCTTATCTTTCTATCTCCACCTATTCATTCGTCCTGTAGCAACAAATCTTGACTGCTGGAATGAGTTGCTGCAAATTAATGTTAGTGACACTTCGTCTTCGGCAGCGCCCTCCCCAACATCTTCGTCAAACTCGCCGCAGAACCAACAGAAACAACAACAACAACAACAGCCATCGACGCTGGACGATTGCAAGGTGCATTTGCAGCTGGAACAGCAATTGCCGCCACAACACCAACAACAGCAACAGCAACAGCAACACAATATAATTTTGAATGCAGTGCCATTGATAACCATACAAAACAATAAGAATATTTTATTGCAGCAACAACAACAACATCATCTACATAACGTCAACAATAAAATGATAATTAACGACGAAATGTTGCCGGCGAATCGCGGTGGTAATAAAATCACAACAATTAAATTGGTGAACGCCCAAGCAACGGCAGCAGCAGCAGCAGGGACGCCGGTAGATGGAACTCCATTGACTGCCAGTATTGGTACGACCACCATTCGGTTGATTGATGGCAAGCACCAGCAGGAGCAACAATTGCTGCTACAAAGACAACAACAGCAAATGCGTTTGCCAAATGCTACAAAGGGCATAATATCACAACAACAACAGAACCAACAGTCGCATAAAAGACATTTGGTGAGCAATTTGAGTAGCACCCAACTGGAAACGAAGCGCATGAAGAGCACTGGCCCAGCAGGCGCGGCTGTCGGAACTTCAGCAATAGAGCTGCACTCTGTGCCACAGCTATTGCAACAACTAGTGGCACCCGTGCAGTCGCAGCAGCTGAAGGAGCAACAACAAAAACAGCAGCAGCAGCTACAATACATGCGCAAATTGAATGGCGGAAGCGCACGTTGGCCAATGACCGCCGATACAAAAGCACTAAACGCAGCACAGCAGCAGCAACAATCGAATTCAGTGCTGAAGAATTTGCTAATTAGCGGTTGTGACGTAAGTGCGGGCTACTGTCTGGTACCAGTGCGGCCCAAAAAGTTGGCAAAGGCATAAGCAGTGAGTGCGCATGGGGAAGGCGCGGCTGGAATGGTGCAAAGACACCTCGTCATCCCACTGCCTTCCCTCATAGCCGCTTTAGCACTTGGCATTTGGCACATAGTATTTTGAACATACGTTTGCCAAGCGCAACAACTGACTACACTTATTTAGCGATGCACATGGAAACACAAAGCAATTTAAGCAAGATGAAAAGGCTATTTCAAAATTTTGGTTTTCCTAATTTTTGTGTTCGGAATTATTTCAAGCACAAGCACAATACATATTTAGACATTAAATTTTTAGTTGTATAATTTTGTAAATGGATCGATTTTCTGATTAATATAAACATACTCTTCGTTAACTTTTTATTTTTAACGCCGTAAGTTATGCTTTATTTAGGATTGTGTAATACAATTTAATTGCGATTATATACAAACATATTGTTAAAGTTAAATTTAAGATTTAGTACTAGTCGAAAAGCTCTACGCATTGCGGTGAGAAAGAAGTGGAGAACCCGAGGGAGGGAGATAGTGAGATTGCAATACGAGTACCACACGAATTTTATAGTTATTGTTACCGCAATATACATACATAGCACGCACACACCCTCGCACACACACAAACAATCACAGACACATGCTTATATGTATTTCACGAAATTGCAATCGATTATTCTCTGTTGTTTTTACACCGATTTTATAGTTCAGCTTTAAGTTGACCAAAAAGGATATTATTTTTAGCAGAAAAGTGTAGAAGACTTAAAAGTAAAGTTGTTAAATTTGTTAATCGGATACTGTAAATAAATATTTTAGTTATGAAATAAGCGAGTGAAAATAAGAGATAGAATCAAATAAAAATTATTGGCCAAGCAAAAAAAGAAAAATAAAACCAAAAAATAAAAAGCGTTAATTAAGTAAAATTATGCAATTGGTGCATGAAACTTCAAGCTGGTGAAAAGCTGCGTTTGGGGTTTAAAAACAAATTTAACATATGTACATGCTTATGTATATATGTACATACGTGGCTGCTTTATTTGGAATTTAATGCATCTGCAGTGGGACTAGTCGGGGCGGGGCCTATTGCCTTAGGTCAAAATTATTCATTTTTGGCTAATGAAGCAGTGGTAGTGACATAGTACTCTGAATACCTCCCAGAAACACATATGTACATACAGATATGCACTTATGTATGTATATTCATTTATGTTAACATGTTCATGCACAAACCGTTGCGACTTTAGTTTTCTACTGTGATAGAATTTTGATATTTTTATTTCTAACATAAAAACGGGGAAGACCGCGCACAATAGCATGTCCCCCTTAGCTACAATTTCGATGAAATTTTGCATATGTTCTGTTCGCACTGCCATACCCACCTCCCACCCCCGCTCTTGTGAGTCGAACTTGTAAATATTATCTGAATTTTATGAAATTCGGCGTCTTACAAGGGTTAAAGTGTTAAAATAAATGTTTGATGAAATTTGGCGTACCTTGCTTGTTTACTCTGAACTTCCCTAGTTTGGAAGATTGCGTAGAATTACTCATTAAGACGCCACCTAGCAACTTTTTTTGAACACGAATATTTATGTTATGGATTTTGAGGAAAGTTAACATACACCTTTACTCTATTGCTAAAGCATCTACGTATGCCGAAAACATATACAATATCCACATACATACATACATATGATAAAATACTAAAGGCTTCAATTCTAGTGCACTTGCTCACGAAAACGGAATACCGAGGCAGGATTTTTTATTGCGAAAAACGTGCATAACCTATGTAGCATACAATTTTTTTTTTTACTGGATAGAGCACGGCTTAAAACCCAGCAACTAATCGGCTTAAAATTATCAACATTTTTTCCGGATTTCTTTTGTCCCAGCTTTCTTTGAATATTTCTTACCTAAAATATAATCCAAACAAATGAGATATATGTACATACCCTGTGGGGAAAATCTCTAGTTCCGAACTGGGGCGCTTCTAGTACATTTAGACCCAGTACTGGTTCGCGATAAATCTCTTTTGCATGCAAGCAGCTGGCGAATTTAACATGGCGATGTCCTAGGAAGTGTCAATTGCCCCCCGCTGCATCCCTTTTTCGATAGTTCCGAACTAGTCCTAAATTCCATAGTTCCGAACCAGTAAACGAAAGAAAAAAGTGTCATGATTTTTCAATCTTTTCGGTTCTTCCGTGTGCGATTTTACATTATTTTCAAAGCAACGTTTTTTCAATTTGAAATTTAATTTGTTTGAATGATTGTAAGAAATGTACGTTTACTTACCTTACTGTAGCTGACTTTGCAGAGGTGCTCGCTGTTATTGGTTAGATTCCAGATGGCCCCAAGATGTTAATATGTTAACACAAAGCTTTGTTTTGTATTACCAAACTATGAAATAGCATCTGCGAAGCACAGAATAGAAGCGTATTTTTGAACGAAAAAGCCGCCGAACACATATCTATGTAAAGTAAACAAGCCCCCCGCTGCAGCCCTTTTTCTATAGTTCCGAACCATTTCTAAATTCGTCACTTTAGATATAGATTTGAAGTGAAAAAAAACCGAAAAAATTAGTTTCTTAAAAGTACCACTTTTCGCCGATTTTAGACTGGTGGGGATCTAGTTCCTATCGGACTAGTTCCTTTTTGGCGATGAAGACCTAGTACGGAACTAGAAATTTAATTCACTAGTCCGCGGTTTCCCTGCAGGGTATGTACATATGTACGTATGTATGTATGTGATTCTGCACTAACCTAAAAACACACAAAAAATAAGCTACATATTTTTGTTAATTATGCCTTAGTGCAAACGTGCGTAGATGTACATACATACATACATACATACATGAATATTGATATTTGCAATGCTTTTAAAACATCGTGTTATCATTGAGCTTAATTTTCATTTTGAACCTTTTAACCGCAAGTTTGCATACCAAATATTGTAGAGTAGAAAGAATGGAAACAAAATGCATATGTATGCACGGGGAGATTTAGTAAAAAGGAAGATTACCTAATAAAAAGACAAATATGGTTAAGCTTTTATTCAAATAAAGTAAAACCAAAATTAGAGCGCTGATGGTACAAAAGTCTGCAACAAACAACTTAATGGAATTAAATACCAAACACTTTCACAAATACACAAACACAAATAAACAATTTGAAAAAAATTGCTAAATAAGAAATCTTAGTAAAAGTCTTAGTAATACTATCCAATATTCCTACGAGGCATGGAAAAATTTAGAGAATACCAAAATAAAAAAATAAAAAATTACATTACAGAGTAGGGCAGACGAAGTGAACCGTAAGAAATATATTTAGTGAAAATCATTGAAATTTATTGTAAAGAAGCAAATAGAAATGGAGTAACTACGGTAGGAGAAAGTACCAACGCGAACGAATTATCAAATCCAAAGTGGAGTGGAGATGGCAAAGCGGACTTAAGTAAATCTGCTCAATCATCCGAAAATGTTTAACGCGAGATGAATACATAGATTAGTTAACTGATTGTCGCTCCACCTCCCCAAATAGCCAACGACACGATTGGCCTAGTTTATGAACAGTCTGACGAACTTAAAAGAAGCACAGAAAGGCAGGTATCAATTTTGTTTATTACTTATTACATATCCAACAATATCTTCGACAAAATGAACGATAAATGCTTATGTATAGCTAGTGACATACATATGTACTGCTTTTTTATAATTAAGTGTTAAGTAGGCAAATGGAGCAGTGGTATCTGTAAAGTTGTATGCAACAAACGCTTAAAGTTTTCAAAGTAAATCTGCTATCCGGCCTTTGGAAAGTTTTATACACAGCCAAACTTTAGCAATAATTTAATTAAAGAAAAAATTTCTATAGTGCTTACATGCATACAAACCTCTTGCTCCATTTATGTTTACTTGAAGTGATCTTTAATTACAGATATTGCCATCAAACAAACGTAGTATATCCACCATTATATTATTTAAGATTTGCTCACATCGATGTTAAAATTTTTTACTTAGTTGTATTTGATTTAATGCACACATTTTTACTCAAGGTACATACACATGTATGTACATACATATCGTTACCTTAATTCACAAAGGCCTTAACCAGCAAATTTTCTATTTTGCAGAATAAGCAAAAAACATTAGGGCACTTAAATACCTCGTAACCACGTAAACCTCGTAAACTCACTCAATTTTGCATGGAGAACCGGTTAATTACGAGGGTTTCGCGGTTACGAGGCATTTACACGTTTTGATGAATACCCTGATTTTAAAATTTCAATCGAAAACTGCTGATAACTAACTCCATTGTATTTGATACTGACACTTTAAAATTTTTTGAGAAGGGTATTTCAATATATGCTTCCAAAATCGGTGAAAAACGCAGTTTCGAAAAAAGTGTTGGTCAGAGCCGTTGCGAATTAAGGTAACGATAAATAATTTACATTTATTTTTATAAGTTTTCAACTTCAATTTTAATTGCAAAGAGCGCACACTTGAGTTACTATTTTTCCTTTTTGTTTAGTTTTAAGCAGCACTTTCTCTCAAGCTTTCCTACACGGCACCATATTATTCCGCTAATGCAAATATTAATTCTATCTTTGAAACGTGCGATATTGATTGATACACGCATACATACAGCGTTAAAACGCCGTCACTAAACAACAAAAAATAAATAAAAAATATTTAAAGAGGCAAAAAATAAATACGACAAAAAAAATCAAAAAAAAAAAAAATGAGCAAACATTTTGTTTTATTTTATTTTAGTTTACTACTCCACCTTCTGGAAGAAAAAACAAAGAAAAGACGATTTCTTCTATAATTATTCCTTATACTTTTATTTAGTACTAATTATTTATTATGACTTAAAAAATCAGTATGTTTTTCTTTATTCACCTATTGCATTCATTTCTACAAATTATTTGAAAAAAGATAAATCCCTTTTTTGGTTAAAATTCGTAGGGTGTAGAATGAACTACCTTATGAAGTATGCATGTCTCAAGCATACGTCCCACAGTACCGCCTAAGTGGGCAGAAATCGAAAAATTCGTTGTCGGCTATGCGAACGTGTTTGGTATTTTTGTAAAGGTAATTTATCCACTAAGAATAATGAAACAGAAGTTTTCCCTTGAAAAGAAATGATATGCCGCCAGGAAGCCACTAAAGTCGACAAATTTTATACTAAGAATTGCAATAAGAGCATAGCCAAGCGTAAGCTCTTCACGGAAACAAATGTCAAAAAAAAAAAACCATTATTTGAAATAAAATGTTGGTTTGGCGTTTTTTATTTCCATATAGATAGTAGAGAACTATAGGAATACACATTTTGGAATAAAATTAAACACAGGGTGTCACTGCGGTATTCCAGAA